GGCCGGCCGTGGACTGTTCAGTGTTCTGTGAGTGTAGTGCAGCAGGGCACCGGACGGGCCGGGCGTGGGGAGGCGGCGCTCGCGCGGGTAGAAGAAAGAGACGGAACTCTCGCGCTCTCGCTCTTCGGCCTCGGCCTCGCTCTGCCGGGGGGGGGGGGGGGGGTCATGCCCCCACTCCTCGGGGTTGTGCTGCTGGTGGGTGCCCCTTGTGAGCTGGGCCGGCGTCGGGCCACCTTGAGCTTCTTCGGAGCTGGCATGGGAATCTTGCCCGCTCGCTCGAGGAACATGCGGTCCTGTCGACACCCAGCGGCCGGGACGTGAGCTCGGAGAGCGGGCTTTTAAGTGCGGGCGGAGGTGTGGGCGGAGGTGTTGCCAGGCGTGGGTGGGGTGTTGTGTGTGGGCGGAGTGTGTGGGCGGAGTCGAAACGCGAGGCTCCGCGAGAGGGAGGGTTGGGCGTGTCGGCGGCGAGTCGTGCCTCATTCCCCGGCTGGTTCTTGCACTCGGAGCACTTGCACGTCGGCTGACAGGTGATGCCGGCCTGTGGAGGGGCGCAGGCGCAGGCGTCAGCCGCGCGAGTCTCGCGGGAGACAGGGGCGCGTGGGACGCCGGCCTGGAAGCACTCGCAGTACTTTTTGAGGCAGCCCGACTTCTTGCAGTGGCACCCCTTGCTGTGCCGGGTCGTGTCCTTGCCCAAGGTCGAGTCGTGAGCAATCTTTGGCCGGAACGCGGTTGGGTTGCTGCGGGACGGGGACGGAGGGTTGAGGAAGGTGCGACGGGTGGCGGCGGCCGGGTCGGCAGCCCGCACCGCTCAAGCGTCGCATCGATTGCTCTGGCGCGCTTCTCGTTGTTCTCCGGGTTGTTGTGGCAGCCCTGGCAATTGCAGCCGAAACAATACTGGCCCGACGCAAAGCACTCGCAGTAGAGCTTGAGGCAGCGCGAGTTGCGGCAGTTGCACTGCCCTCGCTTCTCGACGAGGGCCCTGCGCGCCTGCGCCGACGCGCGCCCCGCGCCCAGCATTTGTGTTTCGCAGTTCGGATCAGGCGTGCTTCGCGGTTTATTCACAGCTCGAAAATAGAGGGAACATGGCGCTGTGCGCTGGTCTGTGAGAGGTTGAGGTGCGAGCCCGGAGGCCCTGGGGATGGGGGGAGTTCACATAAACGCACAACCCCGGGCCCGAAATCGCACAGAGACAGCCTTGTTATTGAGAAGAAAATAAATACGCAGCGCTTCTTAGCTCCCCGGCCCCGCATGTGAGGCTAGCCCTCCGCTCAACGGCCGTCGCGCCTCGTCGTCCTGACTGGTCGCTGGCTGTGCACGCGCGGCAAACAAAGTTAGAGTTGTTTGGTATTGCTAAAAATCTCTCTCTCTCGCGCGCGGCCGCACGTGCGCGGACCGGTGCGGGAAGTCGGCTGGCTGCCTGGCCGGCTCGGCCATTTAAATTCCTCTCGCACTCGGCGGCTGCCAAGCGAGCTCAAAGTGCAGATTGGCACGTCGCTCGTGGCCGGAGCGCGTCGCCGCGGAGGCGCAGTTGGCCACCGGCGCGAGCTCAGCGACCCAGGTATTCGCGCTCGGCTAGCAGGCGCCGCTCTGCGAGCGAGCGCGCTAACTCCCATTGCGGCGGAGATACACACGAGAAACGAAATCGATAACGCGAAATGACGTACGTTCTAGGACGGCCGACTAGAAAATGAAACCTACGCACGGCAACGAAACCGGAGTGCGGAGACCGGGAGAGAGGGAAAATTCCTGGGGTCAGTTTTGCTGCGCTCAAGACACAAACGAGAATCTTATCGCCCCCCACTCGCGTGGGCCAGTACTCAGTCTCGCCCCCGACGTCTATGAGAGCTCCCCGGGCAGCGCCATTTTTTTTTATACTAGAATCCAGCTGTATGCAGCGCGCGGGCCCGGCCACTGGCCGCCTCTGGCCGCGAGAATCCGAGATGCCGCGTGGGCTCAGTCAGCGAAAAGCTCATCGCCACCATCCATGACTGCATCGTACCGCACCGGCCGCCGGCCAGCAGCATCATCACCGCGACTCTCTGCGCCCTCCCTTCCGCCGCCGCTGCCACCGCCGCCACCGCCGCCGCCTCCGCCGCCGTCACCGTCGCCACCGCCGCCTCCCTCCTCGCCGCCGCCCACCGCCGAGAGCACGACGATGTCTTGCTCGTTGAAAGGCCGGTGCCGCCCACGGCCTCCGCGAGGCGGCGGGTGCGCGTCTCCGACCTGTGAGCGAGAAGAAGAAAGCTGTGAGCACGCGGCGGATGCGCGTCTCCGACACGGGGGTTGCTGTGGGGGCGGGGGAAGGAGGGGGGCGCAGAGTGGCGGTGGCGTGCGTACGCGGTGGAGGGCGGAGGGCGGAGGGCGGAGGGGGGAGGGCCTTGCGGAAGGCAAAGGCGAGGTAGGTGTGCGCGACCTCCCACTCCGCCTGTTCACGCAAGGTAACTGCGACCCGGAAGGCGAGGCGAGGGCAGCACCTACCGCTGCCGCCTCGGACAAGGCGCCGTCCCCGTCCGGGAAGACGCGCCTACTCGCAAGCGCGTGCGCCCGAGGTCTCGAGGCGGCACGCAAGCGCGCCCTCTCCCTCCCCCGAGAGCGCTGCTCGCATCCGCTCGAGCAGCGGCCGATTCCTCTCTGCCTCCGCCGCAAAGAAGTCGCAAAAGTTGTCCGAAGAGACGAGCTCGAGCCTGGCCACACACACCGCAGCGAGGTCTCGAGGCTGCACCGCCCCGCCAGAGACGGCGGCCTGCTGCGGTTGTGCTGCCGCTATCGCTACTCTTGCTGCTGCCACTGTTGCTGCACCGCTATTGCTGCTGCTACTATTGCTGCTGCTACTATTGCTGCTGCTATTGTTGCTGCACCACTATTGCTGCTGCCACTATTGCTGCTGCCACTATTGCTGCTGCCACTATTGCTGCTGCTACTATTGCTGCTGCTACTCTTGCTGCTGCTACTCTTGCTGCTGCCACTATTGCTGCTGCCACTATTGCTGCTGCCACGATTGCTGCTGCTACTCTTGCTGCTGCCACTGTTGCTGCACCGCTATTGCTGCTGCCACTATTGCTGCTGCCACTATTGCTGCTGCCACTATTGCTGCTGCTACTATTGCTGCTGCTACTATTGCTGCTGCTACTATTGCTGCTGCCACTATTGCTGCTGCCACTATTGCCGCTGCCACTGTTGCTGCTGCTACTCTTGCTGCTGCCACTGTTGCTGCACCGCTATTGCTGCTGCCACTATTGCTGCTGCCACTATTGCTGCTGCTACTATTGCTGCTGCTACTATTGCTGCTGCTACTATTGGTGCTGCTACTATTGCTGCTGCTACTGTTGCTGCACCACTATTGCTGCTGCCACTATTGCTGCTGCTACTATTGCTGCTACTATTGCTGCTGCCACTATTGCTGCTGCTACTATTGCTGCTGCTACTATTGGCCTCGCCCGTGGGAGGCGGCGAGGGCTCGCAGCGTGCCCATCGGCACGAGGAACTCCCTGCAGTCGTCGACCGCCTCCTGCAGCGTGAAGCGGTACGAGTGGCCGAACGGCTGCGACGGCGGGAAGGCCTTGGAGGCCGCCTCCGGCGGGAAGACAGCCCGGTAGTGCGGGTTGCCAAACGAGAGGCCCTCGCTCGCCCGCAGCCTACAGGCGGGAGGCAGAGGGGGCCTCCCTTCCTCCCGCCGCAGGAGGGAGCCCCCGCGACCGCTCCTTCACCGCCGCACGAGCACGTTGGCGTCCGCCGTCGTGCCGAGAAAGATGCCTCCTGAAGCGGGGCACGCGGCGGGGGCGCGCGTGTCGGGGAGGCGTCGAGGATGAGCCGCGGCGCAGAGGCGGATGGCGCGCCGGGCAGCAGGCGCGAAGACACGTTGGCGAGCAGCGCCGCCGCACGCTCCTCGCTCGAGAAGGAGTAGTGCAGTGCGAACTGGCAAGAGACGAGGTGGAAGAGGAGGCCGGTGGGCAGGGCGGCCGCGAGGGCAGCGTCGGCAAAGTCCGCCGCGTAGAAGAAGGCCTCGAAGGGCATCGGCTGCCGCCCGTGCGCGCCGTTGTAGCGGCCGACCGCGTCGCGGACCGACTCGATGGCGATGTCGACGCCGACGTACCGCGCGCAGCCGCCAACCTTGAACTTGAGCATGTCTCCGCCCTTGCCGCATGCGAGGTCGAGCACGCTCGCGCCGCTGCGCATGTGGCGCGCGATGAGGACCGACTTGATCCAGTTGTGCAGGTTGCGGAGCGTGAGGATGTCTGAGCCGCCCGTCAGCGAGCGGTGGCGGTCGTGGAGCTTGTTGTAGTGCCGCGCCGCCTCCTCTGCCTGGTCCGTGCCTCCCTGCTGGAAGCCGAGCCCGGCCTTGCGCTTTCGGCTGTGCTCGCGCTCCCAGGACTCCTCCATTGCGACGTCTGAGAAGCTCTGTGAAGTACCAGCAAGGCGAAGCTGTCGGCTGCGGGAGCGCGAGTGAGCGGGCAGGAGTGGGACAACCTGAGGGTTTGGGTTTAAAAACAGGCGGGGGCCTGCGAGTGATCTGTGATCTGTGAGGGTCCGCCCGCAGGCGCATTTTGTATACCGAGGCGGTGCCCGGTGCCGAACCTGTCGGACCTTAAGACGGCGTTGTAGATCCCTGGGCGAGGGTGGTGGAGAGGGCGGTCCGTCGGCGCCAAACCACCTCCCACCGAGGTGGGCAGGTTCCACGCGTTCCCGGACCGCCCCGTTGGAGGTAGACCGCTCGTCTAGCCAATCAGCCTTAAGCGAGCGGCCTGGCCGTTGGAATGGCCCAAGACCGGTCCCCGTCGGGAGGGACTCTGGAAGAGGAGAGCAACCAGGTGCCCGGGGGCGTCCCGCCCACATCCGGATGACCTCTCCTCCTTCGACCAGCCGTCCCCGTGGTGGTCACGCGGCCTCTGGCTGGAACGGGATCTACCTCGCAAGCGAGTCACCCGGGCCGGCGCGCGTCTTCGATCCTGCCCTCGGAGAGGGGGGGAGGTCTATGACCTACCTAGTTGTCCGGCATGCGAGGGCATGCTCGGCCGTTCGGAGTCCCCCCCTCGTAGAGGACGTCGGAGAGAGGCGAGGACGACTGTCTCTGACGGCGGACCTCAGTTACGAGCCGCCCTCCCCTCGAGACGCGAGGCCAGCGCACACTTGGGGCCGAGCCCCAGCGTGCACCGTCCCACACGCCTCACGCGGCCTCTGGCTGGAACGGGATCGCAAGCGAGTCCCCCAGGCCGGCGCGCGTCTTCCGAGAGAGGAGCGGGAGCGAGGGACCTTCTTAGTTGTCCGGCATGCAGACGCATGCACGGCCGTTCAGAAATTTTCCCAGCCGTTGGAATGGCTGCGCTCCCGCCCCTCACCGGGCCGCGAACGGGTAGTAGACGTTGGTGCCGAGGAGGGAGGAGTCACCGAAGGTCGGGTAGTCGTCGGTCATGCGGGGGGAGGAGGAGTCGGCGAGCAGCAGGGAGGAGAAATGCCTGAGAGGGTGGGAGGGAGGCGTGAGGCGCAAGGTGAGGGGCGTGGGGGCGCGGGGCGCGGGGCGTGCGTGGGACGCGAGGCGTGAGGCGCAGGGCGTGGGGCGGGAGGGCGCGGGGCGCTCGAGTGAGGGCAGGGTGTGTTGTGTGTGTGTGTGAATGTGTGTGTGTGTTGTGTGTGTGTGTGTTGGTTTGTTTGTGCGAGGGCTGGGCAGGGCAGGGCAGGGCGGCGGCGAGCGGCGAGCGGCGAGCGGCGTCGGCGAGATCGGCGACGAAGAGAGGCGATGGTGACGTACACGGCGGCATTGTTCACGGCAGCAGCGCCGGTGGCGGCCCCGCGCAGCGGCGGCGGCGCCCTGAGTGAGGCAGGCTGCCCTGCACAGCCTGCTGGGCCTGCAAGTGCTCCAAGTTGTCGCGGGGGATGAGATGGATCAATTAAACACTACAAAACTAGTACTTATAGTCAAGCTGCGATTGCAGCGCTGCTGGTCCGGTCATTGCAACCCTACGCCACGGTGATGCTATGAAAAGATCGTGCCGTCGCCAACGGCGCAGCCGCCTCCCACGCGTTCGTCGCGGGATCGTACCGCTCCACCGAGCTGAGGTAGTCGCCGCCGTCGTAGCCGCCCACAGCGTACAGCTTGCCGTCGAGCGCCGCCACGCCGGGCCTGCTCCGTTCCTCCCCCATCGGCGCCACCGCCTCCCACGCGTTTGTAGCCGGGTCGTACCGCTCCACCGAGCTGAGGAAGTCGTCGTCGTCGTAGCCTCCCACAGCGTACAGCTTGCCGTCCAGCACTGCCACGCCGTGATTAATCCGCTCCGCCGCCATCGGCGCCACCGCCTCCCACATGTTCGCTGTCGGGTCGTACCGCTCCACCGAGCTGAGATAGTCACCCTCGTTGCCGTGATTAATCCGCCCCGACGGCATCGGCGCCACCGCCTCCCACGCGTTCGTCGCGGGGTCGTACCGCTCGACTGAGCTGAGGGCCTCGTTCTCGTCGTCGTCGTACCCGCCGATAGCGTAGAGTTTGCCGTTGAGCGCCGCCATGGCGTGATTAGTCCGCGCCTCTGCCATCGGCGCCACCTCCTCCCACGCTTTCGTAGCAAAGTCGTACCGCTCCACCAGGTTGGAAGGTGCGCCTTCAGCCTCATTCAGGCCGCCCGCCGCGTAGAGCTTGCCATCGAGCGCCGCCATGCGGACATAGTTTCGTGCCGTCGGCATCGGCGCCACAGCCTCCCCCTCCCACTCATTCGTTGACGGGTCGTACCGCTCCAGCGAGTCGTGGCCGCCGATCACGTGCAGGCGCGGCCTCTCGCGCTTCTTCAGCGTCTCCTTCCAGCCGCGGCGCCACGCGCGGCACGTCCCCTTGGCGGCGTGCTTCTTGGTCGGCAGCTGGGCGAGGATGTGCGGGGCGAGGTCCGGCGAGAGGAGGACCTCGGAGAGCACCCACTCGGGCTGCTCCACGAGCCGTGCGGCGTGCTCCTCCGCCACGCGCAGCGCGGCGTCGCTCGCGCCCGCCTGCGCCTCGATGATGGCGCACAGCTGCTCTGGCGAGAGGCCCGCGACGCGCGCGCCGATGCGGTGGGAGGCCATCGGCCGCAACCAGCGGGCAGGCAAGGCAAAAAAAAAACACTCGCGGCGCCGGCTGGAAGCCGAGCCCGGCCTTGCGCTTTCGGCTGTGCTCGCGCTCCCAGGACTTCTGAGAAGCTCTGTGAAGTACCAGCAAGGCGAAGCTGTCGGCTGCGGGACCGGGAGCGCGAGCGTGCGGGCGAGGGCTGGGTGAAGCTGTCGGCAGCGGGAGCGAGACCGGAGCGGGAGGGAGTGGGAACAACCGAGGGTTTGGGTTTAAAAAAAACACGAGGTTGTCGGGGGATGAGATGGGAGATGGATCAATTAAACACTACAAAACTAGTACTATAGTAAAGCTGCGATTGCAGCGCTGCTGGTCCGGTCATTGTCCCTCCTCCTCACCCTCCTCCTGCGAAACACGGCAAGGGGCGGGGCGGTGGTGAAGGAGCGTGCGAGCCAGCACGAACGCCGCACGCTGGCTGCAACGGCGCAGCCTGCGCTCGGGGCGGAACGGGGAGAGGGCTCGCCTGCAAGAAGGGGTTCGCAATCTCCTCGAGCCCGTCGGTCGGGCAGACGAGCATGATGGAGGTGCCGCGACAGACCATCAGGCCCATCGGCCGCGTCTCGTCCAGCAAGCGGTAGGCGTCGGTCGGGTCCTGCGGGCGCGGCGCGCTGGCTCAGCCGAGCGAGAGAGAGGAGAGAACGACGCAGATCGCAAGCGGCGCGGCTCGACGCGCGGCGCGCCTTGAGGTACTCGTGCGCCTCGTCCAGCACCAAGTTGAGCAGCGCGTCGTACCCCTTGAGCACACCGACCACCTGCGCCGGGAGCCAAACCACCGGTGAGCGGGCAGCGAGCGGAGAGACAGGCGCGGCCGTCGCACAGCGCGGCGGTTCGCCTCGCGACCCCCCATGAATTTGACGCGCACGGACTTGTCCACGTACTTGGACATGTCCAGCACGATCGCCTTCTTCTGCGACGCCATCCTGGCACCCGGGGCCCGCGCGGAGGCGAGACAAAAGGAGAAAACGCGAACCTGAGGGACGCCGGGACGGGAGGACGGCACGCCGCCAGCACACAGGGATTTTAAGGAGGGGAGTGGAAAATTTTATCTTTTGAGAGTGGTGACTCGACCTGTGCGCTGTGGGATGTGCATACGCCCTTCGCCTCGGGGTTGCAGTCGGTCGGGGTGCGTGTCCCAGTCTCTCAGTTCTCCGAGTCTCCTCCTTGCCTCGCGCATTCACCCATCCAGTGATTTCTTTTTTAGTTTCCCATAAGTAAGGTAGGTAGGTAGGTAGGTAGGTAGGGGCAGGGCAGGGGCCGGCCAGGTTTTTATGAGTGCCGCAACAGCAAAAAAAGTCACACTAAAAGCAGGTGTTGATAAAAGCAGGTCCGCGACACTCACAGCCAGCCTGCGCGTCAGGGCTGGTGCGAAGTCCCTCCGCAGCTACAGTGATTCGAAGATACCGTTGACTCGACCCCGTTGACTCGCACGCGCTGTTATGTCCGCCGGCCCTGCGGATCAGCCGCCGCCGGCCTCCGGGGCGCCAGGTCCATCATCTGCCGCCCAAGGCGGCCAGCGGGGCGCGAGCGTGCAGACGCTCGCGCGGCTGTTGATGCTGGGCTGCCGGGAGCGTGCCTTCTACCTGGGTAAGCGCGCCTTCCTCGACACGGAGCAGGGCCGGTCGCAGCTTGCGAAGCGCGCAAGAGGGCGAGGGCCACTGCCGACCCCGCGGCCACGACCGCGGCCGACCGGCTCCCTCTCATCTGTCGCGGCAATCATGAACTTTGATGGCCGGCCGCTAAAGTCCAACGTGGCGCACGTCGCGACGGCTGTCTTCGTCTTCAGGCAGATGAGGCGTGCCCGCCGCCAGTTTGGCGTCACGGTTCCGTCGCCTCAACAGATGCCGGCACCGGCGGCGGCGGCACCACCGGCGGCGGCGGCGGCGGCGGCGGCGGCGGCGGCAGCCTCGACACAAGCGCCGGCATCAGCGGCGGCGGCGCCAGCGGCGGCGGCAGCAGCGCAGGCACCACCTGCAGCCGCGGCCGCGTCAGCACCGCAGGCGGCGGCGGCGGCGGCGGCGGCGGGAGCGGGCTTCTGGGGCTCCGGAGGGGTCCCCGGAGGGATGGCCGACAGCGCCTTCCTGGTTGAGGCGGCGAGGGCGAGGGCGATGGCCGACACTGCGACGGCGATGGGGTCGCTGAGCGGCAGCAGAGCGGACTCGCTCGCCATCCACCAGCTGCGCAAGCAGTACGCGGAGCTGCGCGCAGCCTTCCACGGCCAGTGGCTCAGCAAGGAGCAGGAGCGGGCGGCGGAGGGCGCGGTGAGGCTCTCCACCGCACCGCCGCCCGCCGCCGCCACGCCGCCGCCCGCGGGCGTGTCCGGCCCGCCACAGCCTGCCCCTGTCGCGATCGTTGACGAGCCAGGGCCGGCAGCCAAGTCCCCGCCGCCCCGCCCGCCCGCCATGCCGCCGACGCAACGCCTCCCGCTCCCGCTCGAAAGCATGGCAGACGCGGTCGTTGCAGCTGCAGCGGCTGCGCCCGACGGCCGCTCCGCCCGCCCGCCGCCGGCCGACGACGCGCCCGGGCTGACCGGCGCGCAGCTGGCGGTCACGCAGATGCTCGCGGTTGAGCGCGAGGCGGCGGCGGCGGCGGCGGCGGCGGCGGCGGCGGCGATGGCGGTGGCGACGACACGGCCGGCCGGGGAGGCGCCGCCAGGCCCGACGCCAAGCTTGTCGGCGAGCACGCAACGAGCGGGGGCGAGCTCCGCCGCTGGCGGGTTGGCCCATGGTGGACTTCGTGGCACAGGTGGGTCTAACACCGCTCTGCTGTGCGTCCCGACCGAATCTATTGTCTCTAGGACTGTCTGACGAGCACAAGAGTCCAGACCTGGATTGAGATACATGTAACCTCTCCCTCTCATGAACGACAACCGACTCGCCACACCCAGCGCGTGACTCGCGACCAGCTCCATGATGGATCACTGCGAGGCCTGCCTGCAATGATTCTTTTTCGAGCTAGAGCGAGGTTGACTCCTCCCAGTGCGAGGCCCGCCGCCCGTCGACAGAGCGCAGCCTGCCGGCCCGCTCGCTTCCTCGCAGCTAGCCACCCGCACGCGGTCTCCCCACCACGCCCTTGCCACAGCCACGCCGCGTGCTGCCGATTTCCGCGGCCAGCCTCGAGCAGCGGGCACCGACGCCCCTCCCGCCCCGCGCCGCAGCCGCTGCAGCTGAAACGACCGCGTCCGCCATGCTTTCGAGGAGGACGCCCACACGGCTCGCGCTCGCGCTCTTCGCCTGCTGCTGCACCCACGCCGCTGGGCTGCTCGTCGCGCCTGCGGCCCGCGCGGCGTCGCCCGCCCGCGCTGCTGAGCCGCGCATGATGGCCAAGAAGGTGGCGAAGATCATCAAGCTGGCCATTGATGCGGGCAAGGCGAACCCGGCGCCGCCGATCGGGCCGGCGCTCGGCGCGGCGGGCGTCAACATCATGATGTTCTGCAAGGAGTACAATGCTCGCACGCAGGACAAGGCGCGGACAAGCCGCTGCTAGACCGCCGTCTCTCCTCGCGGCGACGCTCCGCCCCGTCCCTCTCCTCGGGGCGTGACCTCGTCCCTGCCCCCTCCCCTCTCCAGATGGGCACCATCGTCCCCGTCGAGATTTCTGTCTACGACGACAAGTGAGCGCCTGTCCCCCGCCGCCGCCGCCGCGCCGCCGCCGCCCTCTCAGCCGGTTCGCCGCGTCGCAGGTCTTTCACGTTCATCATGAAGACGCCGCCCTGCTCCGCGCTGATAAAGAAGGCGGCGAGCGTGCCGAAGGGGTCGGGCACGCCCAACGCCGCGCGCGACGCCAAGATCGCAGGCAGTATCACGATGGCTCAGGTGAGGAGAGAGGGGGGGGGGGTGAGAGTGAGAGAGAGAGAAGGAGAGAGGGGGGGAGGGGGGGGAGAGTGAGAGAGAGAAGGAGAGAGAGGGGGGGGGCTCCTCGCGGCGAGACGGCGCCTGTGAGCGACGCGAGGCCGCACGGGAGCACGCTCGGCTGTTAGGTGGAGGAGATCGCAAAGGTGAAGCTCCCCGACCTGAACACCAACAAGCTCCAGTCGGCGATGAACACCGTGATGGGCACCTGCGCAAACATGGGGATCGAGGTCAAGGACTGACCTGGCCGCCTCCGAGGCGTGAGGGCGTGGCGATGAGGCTGGTTGGTGGCCGGATGTATTGAGGTCGTGAACAGGTTGACGGAGACTGCGGTTTGCGCCACGGCGCAACGCTCTTTTTGTAGTCCAGGGGGCAGCGCGTCTATCATCCTCTCAGCTGTCCGTGGCCCGTGTCCGGCGCTCGGTATGGAACGTACAAAATCGTGCGTCTCCATCAGCCCACCGGTTGACGTGCCGCGTCCGCTCTCTACCGTCTACGGCTTTACTAGATACTAGACTCTACGTCAGTACTGGAGACTCTGACGCCTTTCCGCGGGTTTTGGTCGGGGCAGCCGGCACACATCCTTTCCGTTGGATCGGGCTATCCGGTATCCCCCCCCCCCCCCCCCCGCCCCGCGCCCGCCGCCCCCTGAGCCCTGTTCGGCAGGTTGTGTGCCCTGAGAGCGCCCCCCACACGTCGCCCCTGGGCGCGCCTGCGGCCTCGCGGCCTGGCATGTCGCGCCTCGCTGGGGCCTGGGCCCCCCGTCTCTGCGCTGGCGGTGGCGCAAGAGCCGGCGATAAAGGGTGTGCACCGCGCGGTGCCGGTTTCGCGCCCCCCAGCACACCCGATGAGCCCCGGGGCGCGGCGACCTGGCTCCCCGTCCTGCGTCCAGACGCAGTCCCCCTCGCGACTACAGCATGCTCTCCCTGCACCCTGGAATCGGGTGGGGAGGGGACCCTGGCGCTCTCGTGGCTGGGGCATTGCTCACGAGCAAGCGGGGGTGACGGAGAAGGAGGCGGTGCAGAGCGGGCATTAGGATTCCACGGGAACGAGCACTTATTGGCACCGGCGCAGGCATCGTAAATAGCCCGCAGACCCGCGTTGCCAGAACAGCTGACGGTCCCGACTGCTGAGAATGTGGTCGCTCCACAACTCTTTTGGAAGTTCGAGGAGAACTTGACCTTGTCGTTCTGAAGCCGGGGCATGTTTCTTGTTTGGAAAAAGAGGGGACGTGGCTTCCATTGCACAAGGCTGCTAAAGTCAAGCTCCTCGAGAACGGCATTGTTTGTAATAGAGCACGAATACAAAGATTGTAATAGCTCGGCGGAGACGCTTTGGCGACCTTTTGTGGGGAGATGCGCGCCACGACGTGCGCTTCTGTCAAAAACGTTCCGTTGACCGTCAGAGAACCGTCGTGGAGTGTGAACATAGCCTCCTCCGTCTTGACGTTGACAGCGAGGCCGGGCGTAGACAGGAAGTTGTAGAGCGTATTGTGGCGCCCACGGAAGGCGGCGGTGCCGCCGTACGCAAACGACACGTGGATCGCGGAAGGCATGATGGCGGAAGAGGTATTGGTGCCAATAGCGCTGCTCACACACGGGTCCTGAGCCAGAGCAGCGACCGAGAGGGGCACCATTGAGCAGGGGGGCGGAGGCACGAGGGGGAGGAGGGCGCGTGAAGGTTTTTGAATTTCATTCCCGCCCCAATCCCGCCAAGTTTTGGTGTAATTCGAGACGCGGCTTTACAGGCGCGGCGGGCGTCGCAGCGTCCTGTGGACCACTGCGCGAGAACGAGGGCTCGGTTCAATTTCGAGAAGTGCGGTGCACAAAAGTCGGCAGACGCAAAACCCGCGATGCGCGAGGAGATCGCGCGCGCCCTCGTCCAGCTGCAGCTCCACACTCTTCCTCTCTTGCGGCATGCGGGCTTTACGTCGTTACTGCGTGACCGTGAGGCGTGAGCCACGCACGTCGTGTAAAAAGGCGAGTGGATCCATGACTCGGGCCGATATACTAGCCGCTTTCCCACTATCACGTCGTGGCTCCCTGGGCCACCTTGAAGTCGTCCAGTCTTCGAGTCATGCTGGCGTTCTCGCTGCTAGACAGCTCGAGCTGCGCCCCCATCTTGTCGAGCGTCTCCTTGAGCATGTCACCTGCGCGCCGCAGTGTGGGGCGTCTGAGACTGCGCCGCCGTCGCGCCTTCGTGCCACGCCGGACGCACCAAACTCCAGCGCCATGTCCTCCATCTTTTTGTTCATCTCCGCAATCTCGGCCTCTTTGAGCGCAAGAGCGTGCCCCTTGCCCCGCCGCTCCTCCTCGAGCTCCGCCCTCGCCTGATCGAGCGCCTCCTTGTGCTCGCGGATGGTCGCCTCTAGCGTGGAAATGCGCCCCTGCAGGTCCTCCTACACTGGGTGTGGCAGAGCCGGTCAGGCAACGGCTCCGTCCGCAAAACGGCATCGGCGAGCCAAGCTGCCTGCATGCCCTTGTACTGCCTCGTCATGTCGGACGCGATGTCAAAAATGGAAGCCTTCTCCCGCTCAAAGTCCTCGTGGTAGAGCGACACCTTCTCCTTGAGGTCCCTCTGCCCCGCAAGCGCCGCCGCCACCTTCTCCTCTCGCCACGCTAGCTGCCGCTCGAGCGACTCTATCCGGAACGCGGCTCGTCGCAGCAGCTCCTGTGGGCTGAGCTCTCCGTCGGCGTCACCACCGCCCTTCTTGCCCTCTTTCTTCCCACCTTTCTTCTTTGGCGCCATGCAAAACCCCAAAAGGAACGACGCGGAGCGCAGCTGCCCGTGAGTCGTCCGCGCGAAACGTCCGCGCGATTGATATTTCTTTTGTAATAGTGCTAGCACGCGCCAGTCCGCCGAGCCTGTCTGCTGTGAGTTATTTTAGTTACATTCTTTTACGACACTGGGCTCGGGTTGGACGCTTTGTGTATCTCGAGACCTCGAGAGAATCGGCTTATCTGTTTTCACGGCTGAGTGGGTGGCGTTTTTTTTGGCCGGCGCCAAGGGTGTGGGGAGGGGTCTCGTCGCGTTCGTTAGGGGGAGGTCCCTCACAGACGGAGCGCACGGAGAGACGGAGAACGGGGAGTACAGATAAAGTACGGGGAAAACGGACGTGACCAGCTACCACACCTACCCGCACGGAATTTGGCGGGCTCGTCTGCACAAGGGGAAGTGGGCTCGCCTCGGGAGGGAGTTTCCTTGAAACTCTTTTTCACAGACATTGTTATTCGGAGAAGAAGTACCGCCACAGCGCGCTGGTCTATAAGGTTCCACCGTGCCGATGTACCCGTGTCTCGTGTGTCTGCATGCATCAACAGAGGACAAGCCACGACCTCTGTGGGTGTCAGAGACCTCGGCGAAGATCGTTCAGCCACCCGAGCCAAGAGCCACCGGAGTCTCGCCCTCCTCTCCCCTCGAGCCACCTCTCCCCGTCCTTGCCCCACATGCGCACCTGAGAGTAGAGGCTGCGCGCCTCGTCCGCCGCCAGAGCGCCGTCCCCGCCAGAGCCGGCCGCCGGCAGCGCCTCGATACTCCGCGCCAAGCCCGCCAGCTTGAGCAACGAGCGCTCCGCCTCCGCCTCCCCATCGCCCGCGGCCCGCACGAGAGCCGCGAGCAGCGCCTCCACCTCCTCCGGTGGATAATTGTCGAAGGCCGCCAGCATCTGCTCGAACACGCGCCCCTCAAGCGCGTCGCTCCAGGAGCCGGTCTCCTCGGCGCCCCGCGGAGCCGAGACCACGTCGAAGCGAAATCCGCCGGCTGCCTCCTCTGCCAACACCGCCGCTTTGGCCTCTGCCGACGCCGCTGCTTCCTCTGCCACCAGCCTCTCCGCTGCTGCCTCCGCCTCCTCTGCCGCTGCCATTTCCGCCTCCCTCCTCTCTCTCGCCACCCGCGCCGCCTCCTCCGCCTCCTCCGCCTCCTCCGCCTCCGCGGCCGCCTCTGCGACCGCTTCGGCGGCCGCCTCCCTCTCCGCCGCCCTCTCCCGCTCCTTTTGCAGCTCCCTCTCGCGCTCCGCCGCGAGCCCGCGTGCGTACCAGTCGTCCTGGTCGAGGTAGCGGTCGTAGCCGCCCTCGTCCTGAGTCACGTCCGCCCGCCGGCTCGTCTCGACGCGCAGCTCCAGAGACAGCTCCGCCGCCTCGCCGTACCGCTCCTCGTTTACCGCGCGACGCAACGCGGCGAGCAGCTGCCCGCGGCGGCTGCTGCCAGCCTCGAGCGCCGCGGCGGCGCCGACGTCGCCCACCTCGAGGGCGCGCCGCATCGCGAGGCGTCGGCGCACGTCCTCGTCGAGGAGAGGCTCGAGCAGCTGGGTCAGGGCCTGCAGGAGGGGGGGAGACACGGCTCAGGAAAGCCTCCTCAGGAAAGGCTCCCCGCGTCGAGCGGCTCTTCCCCACCTCGTTGGTCGCCTCTCGCCTCCGAGGCAGCCGCAGCCCCGCCCGCAGCGCCGAGCGGGCCTTGTCCTCGAGCGAGAGGGAGAGGAGCTCGTCCGCAGAACTGATCTCCCAAGGCAGCGGCGGGGGAGGGCGCCGCTCGCCCTCCCCTCCCTCCTCTCCCTCAGCCCTCTCCGCCGTGCGCGGCATCACCTCGAGCCGCATCTTGCCGCGCTGCTCGCTGTACCGCGGAGCAGTCCGGCCGCCTTCCCACACGCGAGCGTCGACCAGCACGCGACAGCCGAGCGCCAGCGCCACGCCGAGCGCCTCGTCGGCGGTGCACTCGCACAGCGTCGCGTCCTCCGCCAGCTCGGGCAGCGAGGCCTCGCCCTGCCAGCCCTCGTCGCCGAGCCCCTCGGCCTCGTCCTTGGCCCGCCAGCGCGCGTCTTGGGCGGGCGGCGGGCCGGCGCCCGCCGCGAAGCTCCCCGAGTCGCGTGCCATCGGCAGCCGCCGCTCGAGCACGAGCGCTCCGCCCACCACGAGCGAGTCGCCCAGCAGGGCGGTGTCCTCCAGCACCACGCACGCGATGTCGGCGCAAGCGTCGCGACGCGCCATGTCGACGAGGAGGTGGTAGGCAGAGCGATAGCCCTCGCGCGGGTAGCCGCGGCCCGAGCAGCGAGCAAAGGCGTCTCGCTTGGCCTGCGGCGCCGGGTTCCAGGCCGCAAACGGCAGATTGTCAAAGAGGCCGCCATCGCGGCCGGCGGTGGCCTGAGCCTGGAGAAGCACCTCGACCATTGATGGGCGTGCTGCATTGAGGGCCTGCTCGCACGCCATCACCGCGTCGGCAGGAATGGGAACCGGAAGGACCGGTCCCTCGCGTGTCTCGGAGAGGAATAGCGCAGGCGCCGCCGCGCAGCGGCCGAGGCCGGCGAACCGGAGAGGGACAAAGTCGGAGAGGCGGATGGGCACCGCCGCGGCAGATGGGAGCGAGAGGAGGAGCATGCACATGCACGTGGGGAGGTCGAGAAGGCGGCGGTCCACGCGTGCTTGCAGTCACTCAGTCAGCAGTCAGTCTCCGTGCAAATGCGACCCGTCGAGACCATCAACTGTGGCACGGCTGTGGCGCCACCGACTTGGCATTCGTACTGTCCACTATGAAAGTGTGGACCGGCGTGAACAGCAGCTCCTGACCACGGCGCCGCAGGCGCCTGTTGATAGGTCCAGGTGATAGCCCTGGATAGGCAATGCATACGCCTCACTGGACCTCAGATCGCCCGACCGCGTCCCGGTGCTCTGCCGTCGGATTTGTGACGCCGCCGCACCACGCCGCGGCCGGGGGCCCTCCGGAGGCCGAGGATGGCCGTGGCGGACCGGGACGAGCTCTGGGAGGGGGGGTGTCAGTGAGTATATTGTAGATACTGACCATGTGCACAATAACTCTCACTTTAGCTAAGCCAGGGGAGGCGATTCCGGGGCCGTACATCAGCTTGACGGTGCTTCGCCGGCGTGCGTCCCGGAGCGGTGCTGGACGGGCGGTCCGGGGGAGAAAACTCAGGACAACGCCGACACCGCTCTGATTCGACTTTTTACTTCAAACAAAGACAGTGGCACGCGCCGCAGCGCGGTGCATGCCACTGTCAGGAGCGGATCCGTCGGTTAGTTGTGTTCACGCCGGGATCGTGTCCTGAGTAACCTGCCCAGACTTTAGGCTTGGACAGTAGTATTCTTACTCGTGTGCCGGCGAGAGCAGGAGAGTGAGGGACAGTCAGCCGTGCCTCCGCCGTCGCCCCCGAGTGCTGTTGTCGCCCCTCTGCCCTTCGCCGCAGCACTAGCCGATGCGCCTAGACGCGTCGCCGGCGTTGACGCGGCGTGGCGCGCTGGCCGCACTGTCGCTGCTGCCGGCGCTGCTGCCGTCGCAGCCCGCCTCTGCCCTCTTCGGCGGAGCGGGCAACTCCCCCACCGTGGAGGTCCTGGAGCAGCCGGAGCTCTGCCAGGGGCGCGCGCAGGCCCAGGACTTTGTGGCGGTGCGCTACACCGGCCGCTTCGCCGACGGGCGCGCCTTCGACACTCGGTACGCCGCTCGGCCGCTCGTGTACCAGCTCGGCTCCTTCTACCTACCTGGCGTGGACGCGGCGCTCGCGGGGAGATGCGTCGGCACGAAGCTGCGGCTACAGTGGGCGTCGAGCCCGCGCCCGCGGCTCGAGGACGACGCGCAGCAGCTGCCCGCGGGCTCGCGTCTTCAGCTGGAGCTCGAGCTCGTCACAATCAAGTACTCGCTCTTCGGCGAGACGATGCGCGACCCGGCGAACAGCTACTTCTTCGCGCCGGGGCCGGTGACCCTCTCCTCCGCGTACGACCCGCGCGGCCACGCCTCCGGCCTGCCGCCCCAGGTCAAGCGAGACAACCCCTTCGCGCTCGGCCCGACGGAGGACTCGCTCATCTCCAACTCGAAGGGCGTGCTCAAGCCGTTCGTCGGGGAAGGGGTCGGACTGCCCGAGGCGCCGCCGGAGGCGGCGGAGGCGGAGGGCGCGGGGGCGCCCCTTCGCGGGTCGCGCACCGGCAAGGACGGCTGAGCGCCAAGTGCTCGCAGCGGCGCCGGCGCCCGGCGGCGGGGTTGGGCGGGGTTCACGGGCGGGCGCGCCGCGGTTCTCGTCGCTTCTCCACTTCTCGGCAAAGGGAATGATGTCGGCCTCCCTTAGAGATGGAGAGTTTTCATCGTTCCTCCTTGCGCTACGCTACCGTACAGAAAAATGTCGATTCAGAATTCTAAGCCGGTGTGCTGCAGCACCGCTGCTCAACTCCGTGTGTAGAGACAAGAGAGCGTAATGCCGTCGGCCGTCAAACCACTCTCTGCTCCTAGTCCTCGTACTCGGGTCGAACGTAGGTCTTCGTGTTGAAGACGTACCAGCTCCACATGCTGAGCGCGAGCAGCATCGAGCGCCGCACGTTGCGCAGGTAGCGCGAGCGCAGGAGCCGGCCCACGGCAGCGACGGCCGAGCCGATTGCACCGCCGTGCGCTGCGGAGATGAGGTCGGCGCCCTCGCGCTGCCTCCTCCGCTGAAGGTGCGCGCGCATGTCACTGACGATCCCGCCGTTCGCCAGCGACCAGCTCGAGTCGCCCACCGTCTCGCCGTCTGCTCCGGCGAACACGTCCTCGGCTGCTCGCTGCGGCCGCACAGAATCCCCGTCTGACGCACCCCGCGCCACTGGATCCGCCTGCGCGCGACACGCAGCGCACGGGCGCGTGGTTAGTGGGGCGCACGGGCTGGTGCGATGCGCGATGTGCGCGCACCGCGGCAGTGACGGCGACGAGCGCCACCGCGAGCAGAGATCTCGACGCGGGCCACATATGGCAATAAATAAATAAAACGGCATCCATGAGATGGGTAAAAAGGAACAGGGCGCCCTGCGGTCTTTGTGCAGGGGGCGACTAGCCGGGGTCGTCCTCCTGATGGGGGACTAGCACTAGCCGTCTTCCACATGGTCCCTCGGGTCCCTGTTGCTCCTAATCTCTTTTTACATCCTCCTGCTGATCTCCGCAACGTCCTGCTCCCTCCCTCGTCTCGCCCTGCGCGACTGCTCCGCCTCATGGCAAGCGAAAAAGAATTTTACAATTAACTTCGTCGCACAACACTGGGCACGGGACGAAAAAGAAAAATCGTGGTCAACTTCAACATAGCATCCCTCCCTTGGGTTGTCCGTTTTCTTTCTTTCTTTCTTCGGGATCTAGGGATCCCTACGACTTCTCTCTCTTTCTTATGCTGGAAGGTTGCGGAAGCGGCCACAGGTGTCCTCCCAGCGGTCCAGCAGCGGCTGGATGCGCCGCCGAAGGCTGCGAGCCTGCTGCTCTCGAGGCCCACCACTGACACCCACCTTGCGCCACGGCTTGGTTTCACCCGAGAAGTGGATCACCCGCGGCTCGCCCCAGCGCGACCTGCCCCGGATGGCGTACACCCGAGCAAGGCTGTTGAAGGTGGAGGGGAGGATGCGCACTCCGGATGATCCAAAGAGCCGAAACGCGTAGTTGAGCGAGTTGATCGCGCCCTGGTCGCTGCCCTCGCGCGACGCGACCTCGCCGCGAGCGATGCGCTCGAGTACCAACCTCTGGAAAGCGGTTGCCGTCGGTAGCGGCCGCAGCGACATGACGCCGCTATTGAGCATGTACTTGCACGGCGGCAAGGCACCGCCGACCACGCTCTCGGAGCCAGAGGCGCTGCCGGAGGCGCCATCGATGGGTGCGTGTGCGCAGTCACCACATCTCCAGGAGCGCTCGTTAAACACTGGGCGGCCTCGTTCCGACGTCTCTGCAGCGTCGGGCGGCGCCCAGCAGGTGTAAGCTTCCACTCCCGCGTTGAGCGCTGCGGAAAGCGAGACGTTGTGAGGCTGCTCACACAGGCTGTCGATGCTCTTCTCGACCAGCATGTCGGGGTCCAGCCACACCACCCGGGAGTAGGGCGAGGCGAGCACATTCAGTTCTTGGGCGTCGGCACATTGCTGAACAAGCTGTTCGACATGTACCTTCCAGGCAACTCATGGGCCGACTGGTGCGCTGAGCCGAAACGCACACAGGGTACCCATCATGGCTCACTGACATGGGCTGTGGTTTCAGGTACAATGGCGAGGAGGAGCTTGCCACTTCCTCCTTCAGCTCGCCATCAGCATCCAAGAAATTCAAGGCGTCTGCCACGCCACCAGCATCGACAGGCGTCTCGATGAGCGCACAAGGCGCATCTCTTCAGTTTGCGACGCCGATGCACAAGGCGCTAAATGGCGCCCCCTCATCTGCGTCGTGGGCTCCGGGCAAGAACTACAAGCTTGGCCAGCAGCCACCGGACATGACTCAATTGATGATGGCCGCAGCAGCACAGGAGGCCCTCGACAACGGCGCCTCCGATGACGAGGCCGTCGAGGCGGCAAAGAACGCCGTTTTACTCGGCTCCAACCCGCGCGCCATGCACCTCACCAGCATGGACACGGGGGGCATGTCGGCAGAGGAGATCGCCATGCTTTACAAACCTCCAGCCCGAGGGCTTTTCTCCTCGCTGCCGAATCCATTCACCTCCTTGTTTTAATTTTGACCACGACTACTGCGTTTCGTTCGGCTGATTGTGTGTTGCGGTGCATGAACATGAGGACTGTCCTGCGGACCCACTAGTGTGGTCGTTCGCGGCGCCACGGGCGACGAATCGAGAGAGCCGAGACCATTTACAAAAATAAAATGAGCCGCGGTTTGCGACGGTTTCCGAACGAAAGCCTCAACTCGCTTTGGGGGGGGGGGGGGGGTTCTTGTGCGGCGAATCACCACGCACCACATGCGCAGCTCTGCTAGAACAGGCCAGCAAACGATGTCACCGTGGTTTGCTCCCCGCCGTCGACGGTTTGCTTCGAAAAAGTATAGTGTATACCGAGCGAAGAGCGAAGTCCGACACTCGAGTCTCGACCGCTGCGTCACAATCTCTCGGCGACAGCGAGACACCCTCACGGGTTGGGCAGCGAGGAGAAGAGTCCCCGGGGACTCTTATAGAGCGGATTTTAGGCGGATATTTGGCATACCAGTCAACAGAGTTTTAGTTTGGCGGGTTATCGCCTCGGTAAGTGTCCGGGACTGCTAGTGTGGTCTCACCAGGCCATGGACCCGTCGTCCTGCCGCCTCGGAACCATTACGGCCCGCTGCCTAGTCGTGACCGCTTGGAAGCGAAATTGAGCGTGCTCAGCGCGAGCGGCCCTAGTATTTCTAATATTTCTAAGGCTGGGGGCTGCATGCTTGGACCCAGACCATCGGCACGGGCCTAGGAACGATCAAGGTCGCCTTCTTCACAACTGCAAAGAGGCCCTACGCGTGGCGTGAGAGAAGCTTTTAGCTTCAAAATGGGAGAAAGGGGAGAGGCGGGAGGGGGGGGGGGGTCTCTTAGGCCCCTAAAGGCACTAGGGGTACGCGCGGGCATCGCCACAGACGACGCCGTGGTTTGCTGCCCGCGCCACGCGGGGACGGGGGAGGAGAGCGAGCAGCAGCCGGTGAAGGGGCGGGCCGAGGTCTTCTCGCGGACTCCGCGCGATACGGCGATGCCCGGAGCGCCTCCGCAACATCGTCGGGCTCCGAGAAGGGTGCGCCCGCCGCGCCGCGTGAGCGACGGCAGGCCCATGCAGGTGCCGGAGTGACATCGTTTTTTGGAGCCCGCCTCCACAGTGTAACATGACATGATGACCCCACGATCAAGACAAATGTCACGGCTAAGCGGCGAATTGGTCGCCGGTTCCTTTTGAGCTCTCGTCCTAGCTCTCGTCAACAGTAACACACGACACAACACCACTCACCAGAGTGCGTAAAGAATTATAACTCAGCGCTGAGCGCATCGGCTCTGGGGGGTGAACATACAGTACTCTTGATGAACATCGTGTTGTGTGGGTGCGACTGTTAGATCCAAAGTTAACGGTTTGTTTGCAGCTCTATCATCAGCGTTGTGCGCAGGCTCTCAGCGGAAAGGGGGGTATTTCGGTTATTCACTCCGGGCCGGCACGGTCCACGGACCCCCGCGGCCGACACCCCGAACCCCGTGCGTCAGGAGACGGCCCGAGCCGTTTGGGACAAAGTTACGTAAGATGCCAAGCTGTACGATACATCACAGACTTCGACCCTGTCAGCAGTCTTCCTCGTGTACGTAAGAGCCAGTGAAACCCTTGGTTATTTTTGCGTTCACCACAACAATGTCGGCGATCGGGATGATTGCGCTCCTCGCCTGCCCGTCCAGGGTCGAATTGCATGCACATCGTCCCACGCCCGTAAGGCATCGATCCCGCAGGCCGGTCGCGATTGCCATCCAGGGTGATGTCGTGATGAGCGCGGCTGACACCATCCTGCGACGAGCCCCGTACGCCTCGGCCTTCGCTGTCGTGGGCGTGAAGGCTGTGCTTGCCGATCTGCTCGCACAGACGCGAGAGCGCAGACTCCAGCCTGTTGGCGCGCGCGTCGTCACTTGCGACGATCTCTCCTGCGAGGAGATTGAGGTCGCCGCACCGTATTGCGCGCGTCGCACGCTGGCCTTCTTGCTGTACGGCGGAATCTATCAGGGGTGCTTCCAGCACTGGCTCTTCAACCGAATGCTGCCCGCGCTCGTGGGAGAGGGCTCTGACCTGCGCACCGTCCTCTCCAAGGTCGCCGTGGACCAGCTCATCCTCACTCCCTTCCTCTGCCTGCCCGCTGCCTACTTGTTCAAGGTGGGCCCAGCGCTGCATCCACCTCGCTCCTGCAGAGTTGCCCGTGCAGAGCTGCCCTGCCCCACAGAAGCGCCCTGTCTCGCAGGCGCTAGCTTTCGGCTACGGCGCCAGGCTCGCCCTCCGCCGCTACCTCGCAGACGCGCGGCGCGACCTGCTCGCAAAGTACTGGGCGCTCTGGACGCCCGTGCAGTGCCTCACGTTCGGCGTGGTGCCGCCGCAGTGGCGGATCGCCTTCGTCGCCGCGGTGAGCTTCTTCTGGCTTATCGTGCTCAGCTCGATCACCGCGAGGAGCGACCCGCCGCCTCTGGACTGACGCCTCTCGTCTATTCCTTGTCACGCTGTGCATTACTTGCCCACACTTGGTGTGCATACTGTTGTCGTGCGCGTTCGTCGTATTGCACTTGGCGGTGTACACATACGTAGTACATGCAACGGTGCGGGGGTGTGTCGCCAATTGCGGCTGTGTACTGTTCGGCTGCATGCCGGCGTGGGTGGCGCAGGTTGAGGTTCGTCGAGACTTGCGGCTGTGCGTCCGTCGTCCGTCCCAGCAACGACCTCGCCCACACCCCTCCACCACGCTCCACGCTCTCCCCAGGGCCAGGCGTCCGTGTGTGTGGGCAGCGTGTGGCTGTGGGTGCTTGTATCCATACCGTTCAAGTGGTGTTGCGTGGCATGTACGATGTACACGTGTGTAATAGTTGATCGAGACCTTAAAACATGGCTGCACACGTCGTCACCCCCGGTCGGTGACACTGCTCACTGGTACGCGGGGGGGGGGGGGGGGCAGGCGGAGCTCCAGAAGGCACCCTGCGCTCCGACACATCTCGACTCTGGACTGGTGCGCACGCACGAGTCCGGGCGCGTACCATCACGCGTTCGTGGGGTGGGTGGAGACAATAGAGAGAGAAAGAGAGAGAGTCACATTCGCAACCCCGCTCAGAGGTCCTCGTCGTCGTCGTCGCCTCGCCACGCGGGTCTCACCCCGGCCGCAACCCTCTCCATGTGCAGGCGCGCGAGCATCGAGTTGATGTCGGCGTAAGCCGCGGGGGGCGAGAGTTGCGCGGTGCCCCATGCGGGAGCACCGCCCCTCGCCAGCAGTTCCGCCGCACTGCCCGGGGCAGCTGCTGCCGCCGCCTCCCACGCTCGCGCAAGCCCCGGGTGCGGAAGCCACTGCTGCGGGTGTGGCTGCTGCAGGTGCGGCGGCAGATGCTGCTGCTGCTGCTGCTGCTGCTGCTGCTGCTGCTGCTGCTGCTGCTGCTGCTGCTGCTGCTGCTGCTGCTGCTGCTGCTGCTGCTGCTGCTGCGCCGCCAGCAGCGCATGGTGCGGGTGGTACTGCGCCGGATGCCGCGCCGGCTGTTGGGGTGGGGGCGCCGGGGGGAAGATTGGGCCGAGCGGCACCGGCGGCGTGTCCAGCGGCTCGCTGCGGTTGCACGGGAGGACCGGTGAGTTGGCGCGCGGGAGGCGGCCGGGAAGCGGGGGCGCCCACCTCGAGTTGATTCGTAGCCGCTTCATGTCGATTGTCTCGCTGGCGGACGAGTCGGGCCGCTGACGTTTGCTGCGAAAAGTGGGGCGAGCCGGTGAGGAGAGGGGGCGGCGCGGGGGTCGGGCGGCGGGCGGCGTGGGGGCGGCTCACCCTCCGCACCGCGCCTCCCAGCGATCGGCCATGAGAGAAGTCGTCCAGAAGCCCGCCTCGAGCGGCTGGGCGGCTGTGAGAAATAACGCCCGGCCAGCGGAGCTGGGAAGAGGACCGCCGCAAGCGGCGTGGCGTGGAGCGGTTGAGCATCCCTCCGGGGGCCCCTCTGCGCCGGGGAGGCGTTGTTGGAGGCTAGGACGCAAGCGTCCGTCGCCCTTTTCAAACTCGGGGCCCACTCCGCTACGCTCCGACCCGAATTCGGAGGGCCTAAAAGTTTAAGGTGTTGCTGCGCAAAAGGGGTCGGACACAGGGCGCAGCTCATGCTAAGAGCTAGAAGGGGAGCTAGAGAGAACGACTACCCTGTCCCGTTATTGCGTACACCAACACCACAAAAGCTCTCTCTCTCCTGTCCTCACTCAGAGCACAGAGGGGGGTCACAACTACCGAGTCTCTCGACTAGCTGCCACGTTGCCGACCGAGAGCGGATCTCCTCCTGCTCCGCAAGGAGGGTGGCCAAGGCTAAAGTCTTGCCGGAGCCGCCGGGCGCGTTGACGACTTGGAGAAGGTCGCCCTTGTACTTGTACTTGTAGAGATGCTCGAGGGGGTGCTTTGTGGGGCGGTGCGCAGCCAGGCCAGCAGTGAGGGGAGGCGCACCCTCACTCTCCTCGGTTGCAGAGCTCGTCAGAGGCTGCGTCACGACGGGAGGGTCGCGACAGCAGTCCTCGGGCGAGCCGACGCGCATGTCCAACCAGCGCTGGGACTCGTTGTGACGGCAGACGCCGGCTGCCTCTCCAACCGCTTCTGCAGCGTCCTTCTTTGCCCGTGCATGGGCTCGATCCGATTCCGCAGCGTGTCGTCCCCAGCGGCGGTGCTGCGCGGGAGGCGGCCGCGGGCACGCTGGGCTCGATCAGCTTTCCCTAGCACGGATTTGGCGGACGTTCGTGGCTTCAATTTTACGAATGTCTTGGCACCAGCTGAAGGCTTGCACGTCCCACATCGCCCAGTTCGTGCACGGTATTCGGATTTTGCTATTTGCTCGTGTGGGGGTATATCGCAGATTTGTCAATGGTACCGCGTCTGCGACGCGGGCGCCTTGCGGGCAGAGCCCTTAGCCACCCTTTTATCTTGCGCGGTCAAAATTATGTATGTAGGAAGTGAGTGCAGAAGATTTGGGGTAAGTTGGCTGCAAACGCGATTTTTTCTCTAAGACGCACAACACTGTGCAAAACGGCCGCACTTGACGTTATAGAGGTTAGTCGGGGGTTTTGTGTTCTTTCCATCGCACCATCGATGAAATAACTCGCTGCCCAAAACGACGATACTCGGCCAGCCGGCCCGCAGCTCTACGCGCGCGGAGCTGGCTGACCCCTCGCTCAGAGCAGCCCGCCCGACTTGCGCCAGGCGAGGCCCTCGCTCTCGCTCGCCATCGCCATGAGCACGCCGCGCATAGCCTCCGCGGCGTCGGCGCCCATGTCACGCGGTGCGCAGAGGCGCGCGGAGACGAGCCTGGCGGCGTCGGCGCGCACCTTGTGCTCGAGCGGCTCGAGGCCGAGGAGCTCCGCCTCGCACAGCGCGCGCTCCTCCTCCTCCTCCTCGCCGCCCTCGGCTGCTGGCTCGCCACCCGCCTCGTCCTCCCACCTGCCCGCACACTGCAGCAGCCGCGCCGCGCAATCGGCCAGCAGAAGCTCGACCGCCGCGCCGTCCTCCTCCTCCAGCCGCTGCAAGTTCGCCTGCGAGAGCGGCTCCGCCGCCGTCGCGTCGGCGACCACAGCCTCCCAGTTGGCGATGATCTTCTCCGCCGCAGCGAGGGCCGCGGCGGCCGAGGGAGCGGCCTGTGCCGAGCGCCTGAGCTCGAGCGCAGCGGCACCTACCCGCAACACCCTTTGAGGTCTGCACGCGGCCCCTCTTACGCCTCCGGCGCCTCGCTCCGCGGTGCGCCGTCGGCGCGGCGCGACACCGCGCGCTGAGCGTCGGAGAGGGTGCCGTTGGTGGCGAAGATGCGCTGGAAGGCGGCGACGGCGGCGGACCACGAGTAGGTGTCGCCGCGCACGCGTGCGTAGGCAGGCTCCTCCGCCATCGCCACGAACCACCCCTCGATCTGCGGCCAGCGAGGCGGCTCTCCCTCCTCCGGCCTCAGCGCAAACCCGGACGTGAGAGGCAGCTGGACCGCCCACCGCTCGAGAAAGGGCAGGTAGGTGGCGTCGGCGAGACCGACCGAGCCGCCGCAGATGAAAGGGCCTCCTCCCTCCGCGATGGCCGCGTCGAGCGCGTCCAGCCCGTCCTCGAAGGCTGCGCGGAGGGAGGCAACCTCCTCCTGCGTCACGCTCGCGTTGCGGACGGCGGCCGCGAAGCGGAAGCCGGCGGAGGAAAGATTGCCGGCCTCCGCAATGAGTGCCTCGGCGGCCGCGCGCTCTCCGTCGGGCGGCAGCATCGCCGGCTCTGGGTGGAGCTCCTCGAGCCGCCGCAAGATCACATCCGACTCCCAAACCACCTCTTCCGTTCCGCCGCTGCGGATCTTGACTGCTGGCACGAGGGTGGTTGGGACCATGTCCTTGTACCACTGTGGCTTATCGCGGAGGTTGATCAGCACCTCTTCGTACGGCAGGCCCTTGGTCTCGAGCTGCAGCCACACTCGCTCGCAGAACGGGCACCATCCATTCGTGTCGCGGTAGAGCGTAATCGCCGGCGTGGGAGCGCTGCTGGCCGGGAGCCGGCGAGCGAGCGCTGCCCAGCGGGTGGGAACGGCGGGCACCATGGGCATGGCGAGCGCCGTGGTAACTGCCAAGCCGATGGGGATGGCGATGCCCATGACCGCGGTGTGGGAGGGTGGGGGGGGGGGTGGGGGTATTGGGGAGGGAGGGAGAGGGGTCTGGTCGGGGGTAATTTTTCTTTTCTTTTTTTGTCCTCTCTAATTGCACGTTTGACAGACCCGATCTGTGTGGACCGCCCGAAACACCGATGTTTAGCGGGTTCGAGCCGTCACACAGTGGCTGCCGGGGTGTGCCGAGGGGGGCTGGGTGGGCGGTAAGCCGTCATTGCCCGGCGTTGCTTGCAGCGCTCTAGGTGGTAGTCGTAGTGGCGGCGCTCCAAGAGTGGCGCTCTTGGGAATTTCCGCTCCCCCCCCCCCCCGCAAGGCGCGAGACACACACGATGCTGTTACGGCTGACGTGTTTCCTCTCCTTTTGCCTGCGTGCCGACTTTCTGTCATAGTCGCCTTTTAGTCCCGGCGCGCTTCGCCGCTGCGAGCCTTGGGGCGTCGGTATCATGCTTATGTCTTGTGTTGCACGCGCCGGATCGCTCCTTGTCATGTACTCGCCACCGAGGGGTCCCTTCCCTCTCCCAACCGCTCACCGTGCGAGCCATACACGTCTACCCTCGCGTTGCGACGCGCAACCCTCCCATCGCCAGTCACATCCACACGTATACAAGTGCGAGCGTCGTCGCGGCACGCCATTCTCCTCTCTGCGCCATGCCGCTCCTCCCTCCCCAGCCTCGGCTGGTCGTCTCGGCGCGCCTCGCGCCCGCATGTACTCGAGACGCTACGTCCGATATCGGCGCGCTCCATAGGTGCACGATGTCCTCAGGCGCGCCTCGCGCCCGCGTTTGCCCGAGACGCTGCCTGCGAGCTCGGCGTTCCCCATAGGTGCACGACGTCCTCAAACGATAGGTCCTCTGTCTGCGAGCCGCCGCCGTCGCCACCGTGCTGCTGCCGGTGCGCGCCGCTTCGCAGCACCCGGCGAGGCAGGGAGCCGCCGTCGGAGGCACCACCCCCCGTGGCCGCGCCGGCGTGCAGCGCCTGGGCCAGATCCAGCGTGTCCACCTCGGCCAGCGCTTCGAGCGCTGCCGCTGCCTCTTCCGCATCGATCCAGTCCTCTGGGTGCAGGCCCGTCGCCTCCTCCTCCTCGTCGCCCCCGATCTCCGCGCGCCCGCCCGTCCGCTCCCGCTCGTCGGATGCCGCGTCCGTGCTGTCCGTCGTCGCACTCGGCGCCACCGTCGCAGCCGCCCCGGCATCGTAGGCCGCGTTGCCGATCGTCGCGCGGCCGCGTAGCGCGTACCACACGCCGTACGATTCCGCGTCGCTCGCGCCAAGAGCCTGCGTCGCGCCCGCCGCCATCGGCTCCCCAGCGACCAGCGTGGCCGCACCCGCGCCCCCCCCCTCCCGCCGCCATCGCATCCGCACCTGCGCGGCGCCGCAGTGCTCGCAGCGCAGCTCCTCGAACTCCTCGGGCGAGTCGGGCCAGTGCATCTCCAGCCCACTTCCCACGCACCCGTCCGAGCCGCACTCCAGTGAGCATAGGCCGACGCAGCGCTCGCGGACGTGCTCGTACGCCGTGCGCCGCGTGCGTCCCCTGGGCAGCACGTGCAGTGCGCCCGCTCGCAGGATGGAGCCCTGCAGAGGCGCGGGAAGCTCGCGCAGCGCACGCAGCTCGAACGTGCGATCGCGGCGGTCGAGCCCGAACGCGACCGCCTCGTCTTCGCCTCGCGGGGCCCATTCGTGCGTGCACATCATCGCGCGCCGCAGCGCCGGAGAGGTGCGCAGCCGCTCCTGGCCCTCTTTGTACAGGCGCAGCCGGTACGCATCGACCGCGCGCTGCCGCGCCTTGTTCCGGCGGTTACGCACTCGCAGCGCTGCCGCCTCATACGACGTGGCGCAAGCCGCGTGACCGGCCGCGCGCGCCATCACCTTGAAGTGACGTGGCAGCGTCGAGACGGAGAGCAGCACCAGCAGGCTGCGCCGGGCCGCGTCCAGCTCCGCCTCCGCCTCCGACACCTCAGCACAACCCTCCATCTCGGCGCGCTCGGAGCAGCCCGCCGGCAGGTCACACACGCCGCGCACCCCGCTCGCCTCAGGCACCCGCGACGCGGAGAGCGAGTCCAGCGGCGCCCGCTCGACGCTCTCGATCGGGCCCCGCCTCGCCCAGTACGCGCCGAGATCGCGTGTCCGCAGGTCCGCGCGGTAGACAAGGTCCATCGTCCTCGAGTTCACGTGCCGGTGCCCCAGCACCCTCGCACCCACCTCGCCCTCGCCCGCCGCGACCGGCTGCTCGCACGCGTCCTTCCGGAGCGACCACGCGCCCACCTGGTGCCTGTTCATGCCGAGCGAAACGCCCGTCTGGATCAGCAAGTCGCAGACCGTCTTCACCTGGAAGCTCTCTGTGAACAAGAACCGCCCGGTCGCGGTGTCCACCGCCGGGAAGAGCGGCCGGCTCAGCGCCGCCTCGTCCAGCACCCAGCCGTCCTCGCGGCACGCACGCACCAGCGAGAGGAAGCTCTCGTGGCCTGTGTCCTCGAGCTCGAGGCCGGCGAATCCGCGTGGGTCTGCCACCTTCTTCCGCAGCGCCGCGGCGTCGGCGCGGCTCAGCCGCGCATAGCACCCGCGGAAGCTCCCGCACCTCAACAGCAGGCGGAGCAGCGCCAGGGTCCCGATCCGCAGCATCTGATCTGAGTCGGGGGTGATCGAGGTGCCGAACGCGTAGTGTGCGAAGTACTCGCCCTTCTTCCGCTTGAACGTCACCTGCATCCTGCAGAGCGCCCGGAACGCGCCCTCGGTCAGCGCGCCGCCCAGCTCGTTGTCCATGTCGATCCGCAAGTCGCTCATCCGAAGCGGCGGTACCTCGTGCCTGCCGCATCGCGCGTCGGGGCTCGGGGTGAGGGGTGAGGCCGAGACGCCTCCGGCGGTATCAATCCGCGTCCTACGCGTCGCTTCACGCCCCCTCCCCTCGCCTCCCGGGCGCCTTCCACCTCACCCGTGTCCCTCATCGCAACAGGCGCCCGCCCCGCTGGCCCTCGGGCGCCCTCCACCCCACCGTGCCTACGGGTGCCGCTGGCGGTGGGTGCGCACCAGTGACTGGTAGTGTTCGCGAGGTCGTTCGCGTCGTTCATCGTCATCCCGGGCCGGCAGCCGGTCTGCCTCGCGAGGCACACGTACGCGCTCATGATGAAGGCCACGTTCACCTCGAAGGGCTCGGAGAGGTGCGCGTCCTGCAGCAGGTACTCCCCCGTCTGGAACAGGTGCTGCTTCGTGCACGGGCGGGTCGTCCCCGCGCGCAGCTCCGCTTCCACCTGCCGGGTCGCGTCCGCGCTCGCCTTCGCGCTCGCCGCCTGCTGCTGCTCCACGCCCTCGCCTCGCGCGACGCTCGCCTGCGCCGCCGCCTGTCCCGCTCCCCTCCCAGCCTTCTCTGCAACCTGTCGCATCCCGCCGCCGCCGCCGTCGAAGATCCCCATCACGCGCCGCGTCACCCAGTGCCAGTACTGCCTCGCGTCGGCCGGCATCGCGGGCCACAGCTCGCGCCAGACGTGGTTTTTCATGTGCTGCAGTGCGACGTACACCGTGTTCGAGCCCCGGCCGCTGCGCGCCGTCGCCTCCGCCTGTCCCGCCGACTGCTCCTCGGCCAGGTGCCAGCTAGACGCCCTCGACTCGACGATCCGCGTCGTGGCCAGCCACTTGCCGAACTCGACCGTCCACCGCATGGTCGGGTGAAGGCCGCGGGAAGTGCGCTGCATCGGCACCGACAGGCCGTCCTCCGCCAGCTCTGCGAGGTACTCCCTCAGCAGGCGACGCACCCACACGAGATGACGCGACAGCGTGGCGCTGTGTGGCGTCAGCATCGGCGCGACGTCGGGCCGCCTGGCCTCGCGCTGCTCGGCCTCGTCCCGCGTGCGAAGCAGCTCCATGGCGGCGCTGCGCCGCACCCTCCTCCGCCCCGGCCAGTTGAGGTCAGGGGCGGAGCCCGCCTGGCCGGTCGTCTCGGCGGAGCCCGCCCCGCCGGTCGTCTCGCTCGCCCCGCCGGCCGTCTCCCCCCGGGCGTTGTCCCACCTTGTTGGTCTGGAGGCAGCCAAGCTCGCGCCGTCGCGGAGTGCCGCGTCGCCAGCGCCAGCGCGGGCGTGCTCTAGCTCTGGCCCCGTGTCCGCCACCCTGCGCCACTGCTCGTCGTCGAGCACGTGCCAGTACCGGTCGCCCTCGAAGTTGGTGTACTGGACGCGGTGCACGAGCCGGCCGTCGGTGTCCTCCGTCCGCTCCATGATGGTCCCCGGCCACCACCTCTCCTCCCCCGAATCCTCCGCGAAGATCTCGACTCGCGTGCCCGTCTCGAGGATCGCCTGACCCGCCTGCCTTGCTGCCTCGTCCACCATGAGCCGCTTCCGGCGCGACTTGACCGGCTCCGGCGCCTTCGGCAGCAGGTAGTTGGGCCCGCTCTCCTCCACCGCCGCGAGCACGACGGACGCGCTCAGGTGCTCCACCGCCCCCTCCTCGTCCGGCGGCGGCTCGAACGCCCTCATTCCCGCCTCGCGCTCGCTCCTCTCGCGGGCCGATCGCTCGTGGTGGGCGTTACGCCGGTCGACGCCGTCCCCGCGGTGCTCCGCGGTCGCCGCCTGCGGCATCATCGCCGCCCAGGCGTCGCTAGCAGGGGCGTTCCGATGTGCTCCGATGTGTTACGACTCGCTCTCCAGCCCCTCCGCAGCTGTCACGCTTTTGGTCGAAGGGATACCCCCCCCCCTCGAACCCCCCCCTGACCCCCCCTGGACGCGTCCACCCTCCGTCCAATCGAGCCGATCCCTCTTTTACATACACTAAAACCTCTCGCCTCTGCACGAGCGGCCAATCTGCGGCGCTCTAGGCATGCTGCAGGGGCCGGAGGTGCGCATCCTTTGCTGCCCATACTCCCCATATCTCCCCATATCTCCCCGTATCTCCCCATATCACCCGACCTATGCGTATTGCACTGTCGCTTCTTCCTGGGTGGTGCGTCCGGTCTGGCTCTCGCTTGCCTACTCACCGTCTCCTTGTCATTGGGGCGGCGCAGCTTCTTTGCCGATCACAGATCACCAAATGGTGGAGTTCAGTAGTACTCCGTGCCCCGGTCGGGGAGTCCCCAGTCGGGGCAGCAGGGAAGGCTGGCAAACAGAAGATGGCGCCTCGAGGGTGGGCAGACGATGCAAGTGTCGATGGAATCGTCAAGGTCTTGCTTGCACCCAAGTTCCGCGGCCGATGCCTGGTCCGCCAAGTAGACAGTGTCCAGGTAGAAATCCGACGTTGCGTGGACAGGCTCCGTTGCGGAGCCAGGGAGGTTGACGAATGCCAGCAGCCCCCACCCGTCTCCTTCTACACTTGCCTCCCAGTCCGGCACGTCTGTGCAGAATATGTACTTGCCGTTGCTTGAGCTCAGGGTGAAGTCTTCGCGATCAAAATTTTTCCACGCCTTGATCCGGTTAGGCTCGCCTGGTCCTGAGTGGAATGCTGCAGCGAGATTTCCGAGACCCAAGAAGCTTTCGGAATCGCCCACGATCTCGGGAGCGCCGCACGAGTCCGGAGTCGGCGGCACGAACATCTCAAAAACTATGTTCGAGTAGCGGCCACCTTTTGATTCAGGAAGAATGAGATTATTGCACGTGGCGGGGTCGCAGAGGAGGTCGAGCGCCCGCCCGCGAGGAAGCGATGCCTTGTACGAGAGCCCGTTCGTTTGTCCGCATGGATCTTCATACACCGCCTCCATTGTGCCAGGCGCGGTGATCCCGTCGTTCCACGGGGCGAGGCTCCAGCCCCCTTCAAGCTCGTCACCCAGGATGGTGAATGTCTCGGCGTGCGCAAGACCAGGTAGCGAGAGTAGCAGGAAGGGGTGTAAGCGCACCATATACGCGTGTATGTGCGACCGTTCGCGCGAGCGCCCAGGCAGACGAGGCCAGCGCGGGGGGGATGGAGTCGCTTCTCTACCGCCGGAATGATGACGAGGAAAGCCTCCGATCGGTTCTCACGCCCCGGCGGGGGGGTGATATTGGATGGGCACCCCGTGCCGCCGCGAGAAAAGGGCCTGTCTCTTCCCGCGATGTGTCGCGGACAAACCCAAGTAGGAGCGGGTTCGGGCGCGCGGGTTCCTCTTCATTCATTTTCGGGCGAGGGGGTGGCACCACGCCGCGTGGGGCGAGGGGGCAAGTGTGTGTGATTGTGCGGGGGTGCCGGCAAGAGAATCGCGTCTGACTTACACAAGAGGAACTATAACACATCGCTAGTCATGTACAATCATGAGAACTGGGTCCAGGCTTCATAGCGAGGTGGTCTCCCAGTCTAGCGCACCTCGCGCCCGGCGGGCGGCGCGACCTGTCCGTCCACCGACCCCTCCGCCAGCGCGTACGCCACCGCCGCCTCCACCGCCGAGTCGAAGAAGCCGATGAAGATCTTTCGTCCGTCCACCGTGTGGTACGCCGTGAAGCGGCCCGACGCCCAGGGAGGTCGGCGGCCGCGCGAGCCCGACGCCTGCTCCTGCTTGCGTACGCCTGCGTAGCCGGTGCTGCTGCGACTCGAGAGGTGCAGCCGCCAGCCCTGCGCCTCTGTCACCACCGCCGGCGCCTCCCCCGCGGGGCCCGTGTGGGATGGACCTGCGAAAGCGCGGGGAAGGGAGAGTGCATTGAGAAGGCAGAACCTGAGCACAAGAGGGGGGCTTGCTCGCGAGCCTTGACTTGCATCGACTTGATTACAACGAGTCCAATCGAACACGGGGTCTGGCTCTCCGGCTCAAAACCGCTCCGCATTGATCGGCAATCTCGCATCAACGTCGAGCAATGTGGGGCACGAGTATGGGAGAGAGGAGTGCGCAACGGGAATGCATGTGGGGCAAACGGATCAGCAAGTGAGTGGACCACGCGCCAGCACCGCACACATCGGCCAACGAGTGCGTCCAGCGCATGCCGTTCTCCATCACCGTCTTGTCGATCGCCCGCGCGTACGCCACTGCCGCCTCCACCGCGGTGCCGAAGGAGCCCGCGAGTTTGTTACGCCTCCCGTCTACCGTGTACTGCGCTATGAAGCGGTTGCGCTTCTTCGACACCCCCCTGTATCCGGTGCTGCTGTTGCGGGAGAGGTGCAAGCGCATTCCCTCCGCCTCTGCCACGCACGCACGCCTTGCCCTCGCTCGACGAATTGCTCGACGAGTGAGCGACCTTTCGTCAAACTCATCCCACTTACGCTGCAGAAAGCCAAGCGTTGCGCGATCCGGCTCTTCCCGTTCCGTTGGCCTGCTCGAGAATGACCTGCCCCGAAACTGCATGACAAGCGGCCGAAGTTGTTCGCCGAACTCATCAGGAGGGGGCGGCGGACCGACCTCCGCAACATGGGTCTCGGCCTCGATTGCATGCACGGCCTCGGTTGCCAGCCTCTCGGCCTCCAGCCTCTCGGCCTCCTGCCGACCCATGCGCACGCCCTCCGTCGAGCGGGAGGGGGACGCGCCAGCACTCATCCTCACCTCCGCCATTCTCTTGCGTCTAATGGTGTTGCGATGCGGCAAGCAATCAAACGCGTCCCACTTGGATCGCAGAATGCCGAGAGTGGCGTGGTCTCGAACTTCCCGTTCCGTTGGCCTGCGCGAGAATATCTCCCCCGGAACTGCATGACAATCGCCGAGTGCTCGCCAAC